TTCGACATGGTACTATTGAATGTCATTGCCCCTACCAAATAGACAAGTTTCAAGGTCCACCGTTACCATAGAAACTTGCACGCTAGTGATGTAAACACGTTATAATTTCGTCTGCGTAGGAGTGTTTTGATGCGTAAACATTCGATACTTCGTCAGAACGTCAGAAATCTCAAAAAAAAAAAAATAGCAAATAAATTGCGTGAGTCAGAAAATAACCTCACATTCTCGCACAGAAACCGACTGATGGCGCTATAACTAATATTTACATTTACTATTCTCGGGGCGGAGCTACGTCACAAGACGTTCAACGTTGCTAAGACGCGCACCACTGTCCACGTATTTCTATGGGCTTTGTGCGCGCTGCTGAAAACAGCTAAATTCAAGAAGAAAAAACACGCAACTTTGAAGTAATCCCGAACCGACCAAATTTATATATGCTGCACACACAGGGGTAATCTTGTTACTCTGTTCAGGGGAGTCTCAACAACCATCTCAAAGTACCGTTTTCTGAGAGTTTTCGGCCTTTGATGTTTTCGGCCTGGATGTCCGCCCCGAGAATACATGCACTTTGCGTGCGAAGTAAATATACTTGAAGTAGACTTCTAGCCTTTTATTAGCCCATGTATTTTGGAGAGAGTGACACTCGTTTTAATTTTTGTTCATGTCTTGCCTTCATAGCGCTGGGTCTGGATGACCGGATTGGTAATTTTATGGTAGGGAAAGAGTTTGATGCATTATTAATCGAAACAGCCTGCAAGGACAGTCCGTTTGACACGTTTGATGGCCATTACAAAGATACCTTCGAGGTGAGTTTAAAGGGCGATGGTCGTCGCGAAGCATGTGCATGTATTTCGCATGCTCCAGTGCGCTCTTCTAATGAAATCACGAGTACAAGTTTAGAACTGGGCGCCACTTGTACTAATTGCCATCGGTGACTTCTTGGATACCTTCAAGTCACTAAAAAAAATAACTAATTCAGTGCTAGTTAAAGCCTGGTAACATCTCAGTCTCCTTCTTTGTTTATATGAGACCCAAATCTCGCGCATACGTGGCGCAACGATCACCGCCTTCCAATCACCTGAATATGTCTAATTAAAGCTTGGATTGTACTGTTTGATCTGCGCAACAGTCAAAGTCGCCATCTTTGTTTATATGAGACCCTTGTGATCTAGCGCATGCGTGGCGCGACGACTACCGCCCTTTAACTCGGCTTAGTTCAGCTCTAAAAACGTATCTGTTATTTAATCAATAATGTACTAGTACCCTCATAGCGCCATATCGAATGAGGAGAAGGGTATAGACGACTTTCCCGGAAGTAGCGAGGCTGGGGTGCAAAAATACCTCTGCTTTGCCATAGCTGAAAATACAAATATGTCAGTTTGCTGATAGTCAGTAGAAAAGAATTCTATATTTGTGACAACGATTGGTACACCAAGAAACACAATATCACGCATGCAAGTTTACGTTACACCCCAAAACGACATGCGCGCGCATGCAAAACGCTGTATCTTCGACTTCCGGGAAAGTCGTCCATGATAATTGCCGAACACTCTGCATTCACGTCGTCTTCACGTAAAAGGTGTCTCATCATAGAGGGCACGACGGAGAATGAATATGTATTGGTAAATATTTTTTTTTTAAACCTTGCAGCATTCATAGATAAATGTTTCTTTTGTTTATCATTTCCAGGACATCCTTCAAAAGTTTCTGTTTTTGGGTAAGTCTAGTGAACAAATTATTATCTAAAGTCAGTTTGATTGGTCGAAGGCAGTCATGTGATCGAGTAGTTCTTGCGTCTGTCATTTAAAATTTGCGTCTTAGCATCACGGTCACACACGATAACAAAATAGGTGACACTTCCGAAGAAGTTTCAAAGGGTTAATTTTTAACTCGGATAATTACTGTCCTGTTGTTCTTTTTGAGGACAATAGAACAGTAATTGTCTTCTCAACAAGTATTGTCATCCTATAAGAAATGCTGGATATAGTGTATTGTTTTTAGCTCCACTTTGTTGAGCAGAGCTTATGATATGAGTGATTGTCCGTCGTCGTCAGTCGTCCGCGTCAACTTTTTACTTTTTTGACTTCTTCTTGGAAACTACAAGTCTGAATGCTTTGATACTTGGTGTATATGTACCTTGGGTAGACTTCTCTGTTCATTTCATGATGATATCGTCAATTCTCTAATTTTGGTGAATATTTTTGTCATTTTTGGTAAAAAGTGATATTTTCGACTTCTCGTTAAAAACCGCAAGTCCGATTGCTTTGATATTATACATATACCTCAGGTAAACCTCTCTCAGATTTGTTCATTTCGTGATGACATCTTCAATTATCTAATTTTAATGATTATTTTTGTCATTTTTGGTAATAAAGCTGAATTTTATTTTTCACTCAATCATTCCTTCAGCGAAACTTAATTCCAAGTTGAAATAAAGTATTTTACAGTAATGGCACATACTTTTTTTTCACTGTTTACATTTCAGGAGATGATAGGAATATCAAAGAAGTTTACGTCGCTGGTGTGAAAGTAAAATCCAAATAATGACAGGGACCTTGAAGAGTGAATGATCAATCTACTGACGACACATTTTCTGTAAATCACGCCCTCTAGTGGCGACGCTTCTCATGACATAAATACTAGTAAGTGACATAAAGGCCGTTCAAATTCTCGATATCGTTTCGAACTGTGTCGTCACTAACAGAGATTATGTTAATGAGAGATTTGACTATATTCTTGATGACGAACGACTACACGGCGGTCGTTCATCTGAATGATATTGCCTTCATTCATATACGTAATTGTTGCCTTCTCTAGGGGGGCGCGAATTATGGAAATGGCGCATGTGCATTTGCGTATTTTAAAGCGCGGTGGTCGTCGCGCAGCGCGTGTTCGAATTTCATGTAAATAAACAATGCATTTTACACGCGTTGTATATGTCGCTATGAGTCCCATATCGAACACGGCGCGGCGCGACGACTGCCGCCCTTTTAATCACACTCAGAATTATCGATATTACTACTTTAAATTTGAACATGTCTGAATATCAATTACCGAGAACAAAACTGTTTGAAGTGTGCTACCATATAATAACCACATGACTATTTTTTATTTACATATTTAATGTTTACTAAATAATAATATTGTGACTTACGCTTGGGACACTGATTTTTTGTTTTGTGAGTTTGTTTATTTTTAAAGTATGTTTTGTTGTGTTAAATTGTTTGATGGTTATCTGATTGGAAGACTGGGGATTATATTCAAAAACTTAAACAGAATATGTTTTTAAAATCGTTTCAGGTAAATTCCATATGTCACTGTTACCCTGTCAAATTCTTACAGTTCCTCCAACATATGGCAAGAATTTAGATTCTCCCGAGTGAGCTTACGGCGAGAATTTTAAAATTCGCCAATGAGTGAGAATATAAAGAAATTCGAGAATATTATCAAATTTCGCGGGAACTGCGAGACGAAAGTGTCGGTCTTGCACGTTTTACCAATTCCCGGAAGGGAACATCTGAAATCTAAAAATTGTCATCGCCTAGCAACCACAATCAGTGAGAAAATGCTGAAAACTGTGCTTAGAGATAGTTGTTGAGTATCTCTCTCGACAGTGTAGCAGGACAATTCCTACTTGTGCAGCAAATACAAATTTAATATCTTATTATTTGAAGGGGTTATGAGTTGTGTTTTTCGTTATTTTATTTTTTGCCGGGGGAAGGGGTATATAGTCATGTAATACACGATCGTCTTAATAGAACCAAAGGAATCTAAAAAGGGGTAAAGCTGTATGGTTACTTTTTTACTACAAATACTTCCAGGTAATTTCATGTAATTAACATAAATTTATGATGACCTACGACCTCATTACTTGTCGTTTTCGTCCTAAAGTTGTAACACACATTTAAAGAATTTTGTCGTTTGATTCATATATACGTCGGAACTGTAACCAAATTGTATTCTAATTTGCCTTAAATCAAAACAAAATGTTCATTTGAAGTATAATGTATATTTGTACGATAGAAAATGTTACGCATGTGCGATGAATGTCATTGTACGTTCCACAACCAGTGCGCATGCATATAAGAGTGTTTGGTTGTTCGTATTAATCAACCTTTTGCATAATTACTTGGTCTCAACCACATTGCATCTTTATGTTCTTAATTTACTTTAATTATGACTAACTTTCTCAAAAATCATTAGTAGGCTTCGACCTTAAAGTGGGGGGGTCGTCACCTGCGCGTGCGTCAGATGGCCATAGTGTGTCATTGTTTACAAACAAGCGTCTACCATGAGTCTTTGCGTTCTTAGCGCGTGTCATCATCGCCTGGGACGCGTGCGCAGGTGACAAACCTCTCGCTTTAAATTATTTCAATCATAGACTTTATGAATACATTCGTATAGTCTAAGATTTAAGTTAGGTTGAATTAATTTTAAAAACACTTATAGATTTGAAAAAAAAGCTGTCTGTCCCTTTACAGATGCTTCATCGACATGTAATTATTATTTTTATTTTTTTTATACTACTTCATACTGGTGACAACACGATTAGATTTCACTATGAACTAAAAACGTTGTTGCATTATTCTTTAACGGGCAATATATATTGTATTTAAAAAAATTACAATTCTTCATGGTTTCGATTATGAAACAAATAATCGGTATAATGTGTACTTTAAAGTATACTTACATTGGGTCAATTGACTTTTTTTGGGAGCAAAATTTATTTATAAACAACATTATGAAAAAAAATCAAGTGAAAAAGGTATATAAATTGGGTAAACAGTCAATGATATTCCAAAATCGGGCCACGCCCCCTCTCCCGTCACCTTCGAGTTTTTTCGGCATTACGAGTGTTGCCGAAATGGCGCCACCAACAGCGTTTTTAGTTTAAGATGAATAAAACATATCAATCAGCAAACAGTATCAAACTGCAATATTACATGTTGTTATTCACAATGTCTTTGTTGAAATGTAAATAGTTACAAGCAAATTGTTGGTCCATCTTGTTAGCGACAGATGGATATGAAGTTCGTCCAATAGATTGCGCCCTCCAGTGACGATTCACTTCCGTGACGTCAGAATCAGTAGATGAACATAAAGCTGAAAATGACAACCATATTCGGTATGCATTCGTTATTTAGAATGTAAGAAACTTTTAAAATGGCGGACGTGTACACATTAAAACACTATCTACGCTGTGAATGGCGTCACTTCTATCCTATAACGTCACAGAAGCACTTCATCTCTAGAGGGCGCAAATTACAAGCACGGTGTATTCATCGACACAGTATCACAACCTTGCAATCAGGAATCGGAATCAAAATTCAACGATTCATGCAAAATCTGCCAATTTTTAAAGTTATCATGGTGCTAACTAAGCTTGGAGGGGAAATATTTGTTAAAAATTGAACTGAGAGTAATCGGAAATTCCTAGTCTAAGGGAAGGTTCTTTTATTCAATGAAATTGAAGCGAGTGCGTTTGAGGAACTTTCTGAGCGCATGAGACATTATTACTTATGTGAAACAATTCTGAAACACGTGAAAAGATATTTTGTGTTACAAAAAAAAAAGTACAATTAAATTAAGAGTACGTCTTACATTTCTATGCAATTGAATAGCAGTGTATTTACATACAGGCATTTATAAAAAGAAATATATAATTGTAAAACTTACAATAAATATCTAATATCAATATGTGTATTCACCGTGTTATTAATTGGGTGGGGGATTTATACTTGTATCACATGACAAACTCAAAGGAATAATTCTCTTATGATTGTGAAATCATACGTATGTGAATGAA